ACTTGGTTGTGAAAGTTAACTGTAGTTGTAACACGTTTTATGTGATTTCAGTTTTTATGAATTTAAATTACCAGTATGAGATTAATTGTTTCAATGGCATTTAGCAATTGAACTGGGAATACACAGGACAATCCTTGTTTATATCTAAAGCAAAGTTTTGACTTGGCTTCTTATCGTTATCAAATAATGCGAAACGGTATGAGGTGGGTGTTTTCTTCTTTGTAAGTCAATTGATAAGCCCCTAATAAGAACAAAACAGTCTGTTATGTTTTCAAAAATGGTAAATTCTCTTTTATTTAATACATTAATTGAAAGACATAAATTAAAAATTGATCAATAACTTTATAGTGTAGGCTTGTACAGTGGACTCGGAATATTCCGAATTATTAGACCAATCTGGGGACCCCCGTTAAACGATTTCTGTTGAATTAACATTAGATAATCCGGCCTTCAATCAGTGGGTGTTAACCGACAAGCAATCAATTATCGGTGAGCTTAAAGTATGTGTCAGTCTTTGTTAATAAAACCTTGATAATTTTATAATTTCTTGTAAGAGAGTGCTTGGTATTTCATTTGATTTTTTCACGTCAAATACAGCAACATTAAATATAAATTGCTGAGATGAAGAATCACTATCATTATAATATTTTGTTCATAACGACGCACAAGTGTTTTGTACGCACCCAAAGTAAAAACATAATAATTTTATATAATAAAGTTTCAAATGTACAGAAAGGTTTATCATATTTTTAAGTTCTGGGTATTCGAAGGTGCATTAAAATAATACTTTGGTATTCGAGGTACAATAATACTTGCGGTTTTGAGACAATTAAGTATTCCGTCATGGTGTATAATCCGGCATTGTATCGGTCTTGTACAATGTTGAAAGTGAAAGAGTCCACTGTATATTTTTAATTACATACACTTCTTCAATGATGGACAACAAAGATGACAATTGGACCTCTTATTATATAATCCAACTCTGGCTTAATGAGATGCATGGATCAAAAATCAAGATGCCAAAAGGTGTCAATTTAAATTCTGTATCCAAATACCTTTAAATTAGTATGTGACTTAGAAATATGCTTGGAATATTTAAATTTGAATGTACCATAATATTACTTTTAAGAAAGAAGATATTGAAAATTTTGGAAACAAATTGAACTCCATAGCAACCATTTGGCCAGAGCTGATCACATATATAGTTATAATAGACCCACTATGTTATAAGATTATCAGTTATTTTTCTGTTGTATGATTTTTATTATGAAAATAAACCAATTTAGTTTGACCATTTTTTTAGTTTTCTGCAAACACACAAAATGAAACAATAAAAGTAAACAAAAGATGGCATATACACATAGAAATTCTTTGTAGTGAGTGTATGTAACAGTATGGCCAATTATTACTTTCTTAATTATTTGTTTTGTAAGGTTAAATTATTCCTGGAAGTATTCAGCCAGGATATTTCTAATGTTAGTGCAGTCTGCATTGATTGCCTCTTCGTTTCTTTGATTTGGCTGAGGCATTTAGTTTTCTCCCTTTGCTACATCCTCTAGCCATTCAACCCTAAATGGGTCTTTTGCTTGTTCGCATATGTTATGAAGTATGCAACAGGTCATAATAATATTGGGGACCTTGTCAACATTCATATCCAATCGCTTTAATAAGCAGCGCCAGCGACCTTTTAGGCGACCAAAGGAATTTTCTACCGTCATGCGTGAACTACTTAGCTTATAATTAAATGTCTTTTGTTTTTGGGTCAGGTGACCATTGTCTGTGTATGGTTCCATTAGAAAGTTGGATAATGGATAAGCCGGATCACCTAACAAGACGATAGGCAGGCGCACATTATTGACATCAATCATCTTGCCGGCAAATAATGTCCCAGACAGCCCTTTTGCATATATTTTGGAGTTTGCATAGACTCGTGCATCATGAACACTTCCTGGCCACCCGATATTTAGGTCTGTGAATTCATAACGATCATTCACAACTGCTTGAACAATGATGGAATACCACCCTTTTCTGTTATGGAAGTCAGCATGGTTCATGCTCGGTCCTAATATAGGAATATGACTGCCATCTATTGCTCCACCTGCATTTGGAAATCCCCATTTCGACCGATACCCATTTACAACTCTATTCAGTTCTTCACCTGATGGAAATTTAATGAATTTGTCCTTGATCGAAATCAGGGACTCACAAAATATGTGTATAATTGAAGACACGGTTGACCGGCCAACCCCAAATAATGCAGCCACAGTTCTGTACTCAGCATTGGTCCCTAAAACCCATAAACTTATGCCAACCTAAAAAAAAAGGGTTACCATACTTTAAATGGGAGGGGTAGAAGATTGTTCTCAATATTTCCAATCATTTTAGTTCAGTGATAAAATCTATTATTCAGTCTAGTATTAAATTGACAAAACTAGATTTGTTTTTTACTAAGGCCATCGATCTACATGTACAAACAAATATCTACTTCCAATCCAAATCAGTAGGCGGCCAACATAGAAAATAATAGTATGTGTTGCATGTTCTTATATTCTCCAAGCAGAAGTGAATATCTCAACCAATACAGCGATCATAAAATGCAAAATAGCCTACCTGTCGCTCAACAGATATTGGTTCCCTCATACTTGTTACTTGTTTCTCAAGAAATGGTCTCAAAATTCTGCACAGATATTCAAATGTACATTTTGACATTCTGAAGTTTTCCAAATACTGTATATCATCATAAAAGCTGAAAATAAAATGTAAAGGAATAAGATTAGGTAAATAATTAAACTTAAAGTAGTCAATATCATCCAAAATCTGCGACATTGAAAACACAAAGTATTTGTCAATTTCAATCAACATTGATCTTGTGATCTTAACGGGGAAAAGATGGGTTTCTGATATCCAATATTTGAGACAAAACAAACATTTAACCATTGGTACATGAATTGTGTAATGCATTTCATTGTCATTTGTAACAAGGGACTAGAAGAACGAGGCTAGACATATTCCCACAAGTCATATTCTTATCTGGAGAGCATGCACAATAAATACTATCAGTGTAGACTGGAATAACCAGTTGCTAGACATTGCCATTCGATTTAGACATCTAGAGTATTTCGACGAATATAACTAATTAGAAATTATGTGTTGCGACCCATTTGTGTCAATTTCTAGATCCCAAATATTAACAATTTAGCTCTTTTAAGCATGCAACTATTATTATTCGAAATTAAAAATTGTCTATATGGCACATATAATAGCACAGGCCTATTTGTGTGAAGATTGTTTTGTTTTGTTTTTTTGGGGGGGGGGGACGTTATATTTTCTATAAATATTTAATTGATGACCCCTTGGTTAATATTTGTTTTATACACCTTGTCCGTGTACATATTTGACTATATTATAATGATTATAAATTTTAAAACAATATATATGAATATATCAAACCAAACCTGTATGCGTGATTCCACCAATTGCCACTGTGATACCGTGACCATATTCTCCTGTTGGTTGGCATGAATATCACAGAAGTGACACTCATTAGCATCAGAAAGAAGTACCTTTGTTGACTCTGTCGTTGTCTAAACTGTTTAATTCTATGTCTCAAAGCATTAGTATTCATTTCTAGGAAATGTGTATAAACTATCCGAGAGTAAGAGAAACAAATTTCGCGGATTTTTTTTTCACAGGATGTTTACATATTCTACCAGGAAATGGTATGTACGCATGCATAGTTAACTCTAACCTCCGACCGAAGAGGTCAGAATAGTTAAACAGGTTTGACTTATAGTACGTGTGAACGCAACACGACGCTGTCTTAAAAACCCCGGCGATTTTGAACTGGTTTAAAAATAAGCGTCTGAACGGGGTATTAGTCACGTACATGCGTGAACCGAATCCACGCCAATTGACTCTATGATAGACGTTACTCACTGAGCCACCGCGACTCCCTTGATATTATAATACTTGATATAATATCAAGGTTAATTTACGTCCGCTTCCATTGAGATGATACGGTAATCGAGTAGTTTCCTAGTAAGATTGGGCGTCTAAACTTTTCATATATCATGTCATACTGTTACTGGAAATAACCACCTGATAAATACATTTGTGACAATGTATCTTTAATATCCTTGTGGTTGAAGCGGATATTTAGTTGAGAGATTAATTCTCCAAATATTGCTTGGGGTTGCGTGACTGAATGGTTAACGCCAGCGCGTTAGATCATAAGGTCTGTCATTGAGTCAAATGGCATGGTTTCGATTCCCCGCTTGTACGTGACAAGACGTAGTGTCCAACATTCATCGACCCCCCACGCCTCTCGCTGACAGGGATCCCGGACAAGTGGGATGTGACCCTGGGCGTTCTAGTTGAGTTTTTTTTAACACCGTCGACATATGATATTTCTCTAATCCATCAATTAATTAGCCTGCACGTGTACAGGTCTTTAGCACGACGGTGGCCAGTAATAAGCAGGGATCGAACCCACACCACTTGATTCAATTAAAGCGGACGTTAACCTAATTAGTCCCCCTATTGACTCATCCTGGGTTGGCAGTGGTGTAGGCCTTCAGACCTGGCAAGAAAAAAGGTGTAGTCATTCGGATGGTACAGAAAACTGAGGTCCCGTGCAGAACCCTTGACATAAAAGTAGGCCGTAGCGTCGTTGACTGGTTAAATTTCCCCTCATAGCGCCTTGTGTGTGGCGTATGTCCGTCTTTGTTAACCCAATCGGGGCAGAAGAGTAGGGCGGGTATTATAGACTTGATGATACTTGATATATTTGATACTTTAAAAAATGGGAGCCGCCGTGGCTCAGTTATTCGTTGACTAGGGGCAAGTGGTCCAATCCCGTTGTTGATTTCGAAAGTTCTCTGTGATTTTCCGGTGAACACTTTGACGTACATTTGACAGTTGGAATTCGATATAAGAGGAGGGCGTAGCGGCGTATGTCCGTCTTCATTAGCCCAGTTGGAGCAAACTCGTAACAGGTTAAATCTCATTTTACTCCCTTTTATTTCATGTATGCAAACTGGTACATAGAAGAGGTTGATTTATGACATCATGAATCACATCGATATTAACTGAACAAAAACAAGCATATTTGCATTTCATTAAAACAGCGATTGATTATGTTTACTTTTATATTTACTTTTATATTTACGGTCACTTTTATCACGGTCTTCAAGTCAATGAAACACGCCACACCGCCTGGTTAGGTTAGGGCGCCGCGGTGGAAATGTTTCAGAGACAATAAAACAGAGGTCGGATTCAATTTAAAGATAAATTTATTTTCCTCAACAACCCAGTATTTTAACTAAACAGGCCCGGGATTTCCCCACCAACCCAATATTTTAACTAAACAAGCCCGGGGTTCCCCGCCAACCCAGTATATTTATTAAATAATCACAGGGTATCCCCCACCATCCAGCACTTTAACTAAACAATCCGGTGTTTCCCCCACAAACCCAGCAATAAAAGCACTATCAATAATCGGTATTTGGAACTTGTGGTATATTCTACTGATATCTTTCTGCTACTCTTGGCCTTAAATCTCTCCACCAACTCAGCATCTTGATTAAATAAGAACGGGTTTTCCCCACCAATCTAGTATTTGAATATAATAAGCAATCAACCCAGAAAGAGCTAAATCTCTATTCTGTGGCACCCAGTAATGGACACAAATAGGTCGCAACACATAATAATGTATTATGAATATATATAACCTGATTTACATTCAATCGTTTCTATTATACTGTAATTTATAATCAGTTATGTTTGGCAAAATACGCGAAGGGTCTGAATTTAAAAGGTGATAATCTTCTACGTGGGATATATTTAGTCTCCTTCATCGAGTCCCTTAATGCAAATGGTACCCGAAGCATTCTACACGCGATTCAAGTGCCAATGTTAATATTTTCATTTTGACTGAAACATCAATCGTTTCTGTTTGCATTGTCGAAGACTGGATGATATTGAGTTAGTTAGCGACTTGACTCCTTCAATAAGCACGGGGGTTTCGTCATCCATAATTTCATCTAGATAAGCACTGTCAATGATCAGTATTCAGGACTTGTTGCCCTACACCTCGCCTTATATCTGTACGTGGTTAATTTGTTGTGAAGAGCTTGATTAATGGCCACGTTCTTGTCCTTTGACATTGCTACACAGTAATCTGAAATGATTAACATACATTATAAAATGGCCATTGTTTCAGTCTAGTTGGCTAATATGTATTAGGTATGGGCTGGGTAACCCCACACTGTAAAAAATATCCATTTTTAATGTGAGCGAATTCAGTAGTTTAGCACCTTTTTTTGTCAATTGATGACTTTTTTGGAGAAATTGTGTTAATAGTATGAATTATTTCTTCAAATTACGTGTTTTATCTATTTCAGTGGAATATTCAATATTAAACAGGAAATTTCCGTGACATTTAGGGAACAATGTTTTATTCCCTTCTATAATGGACTTAATTCTGTTATTTTACGGAATAAATGGTGGAATGACCAGGAGGTTTCGTGAATATTAGGGATATAATGTTTTATTCCCTTCTGTAATTCTGTTATCGGTACCGATAAGTAATCGTATACATATATAATCATTCCTAATAATTATCATGTTAAAGTACTCATTTCAATATATTAAAATATATGGTTCGTTCAATGAAATTTTTATCACCTTCATGCTCAGGAAACAAAATTTACCAAATGGAATTTATGTTAATTGAAGGAATTTCTGTAAATTAAAGGATAAATAAATACGGATAAAATTTTCATGGTAATTTTTGTTTCCGTAATTTTTTTACGTTTTTACATGGATATGTTTGTTACAGTGCAGGGTCTAAACCAACTGTCAAGCGCCTTTTTTAGCACGACACGGATAAATCTCGATTTTCTGTTAACCATTTGAGCTAGAGGCGTGTCCTTTTCAGACATCCCGGCTAGCACCATTAACAAGAGCTAGATTATGACCTTGTCAGACATCCCGGCTAGCACCATTAACAAGAGCTAGATTATGACCTTGTCAGACACCCCGCCCATAGCACCATTGACAAGAGCTAGATCTTGTCCTTGTCAGACACCCCGCCCATAGCACCATTGACAAGAGCTAGATCTTGTCCTTGTCAGACACACCGCCCAGCACCATTGACAAGAAGAAACCGGAATGGAAAATTCCGAGAAATATTCTCGACCTACACCGCGATCGAACGTGGTGTTAATATGCCGGCACCATAGTAACCATGCCACACTGTGAAAACAAGACTTTACCTCTAATGGCTTGAACTACGGTTGCATCCAATGACATCAGACCAGGTTTAGGATCTTTTGATACTGAACCAAAACATAGCTCTTCTTTTGTAAACATGACGCTCAGAAGGTGACGAGTCACGGATTGTCCACTCTTTGTTTTCTCGAATAATTTCTTGACGTGGACGAGATCTGATGGATATATGAACACACCATACCCATGACAGAGTTCAATCATCTGAAACAAAATAATATAGCTATGTATACAAATAGATGTGGGGGCGGTGGGCGGGGAGAGAGAGAGAGAGAGATAGGGGGGGGGTGTCAAACCTAGGTCATTTCGTGACTAACATATGATTCAGTACTACTTCAATAATTCGCTCGCGATCCTACCCCTTGTCACGTACAGGCGGGGATTCAAAACCACTCGACAACCAAATCAAAGTATGACGTCACATCTTTATAAGTGAATGGGTTCGGGGTTCTAACCCAACCGTAACCTCCAACTGTGTTGTACAGTCCTGGGATTGTTATGATACAGACTTCACTCCAAATGAAACAACAAAACTAACAATGAATCTGAAATAGGCCAGGGGGGGAGGGGACTTTACTCAAACTGAAACAACAAAATAACAATGAAATGAATGAATTATAAATAGACTGGGGGGTGTTGCTCGTAGCTCGTAGGGGTCTTTAGCAGTGGGAGGAAACCAGAGGACTCGGCAAAAACCCACGAGGTTGGACAGGCGACCATACTCCTTGTATTTGAAACCACGCCAGTTGACTCAATGACAGGTCTTATGATACAACGCGCACATGCTAACCATTCAGTCATCCACCCCCCACCCTTGAATTATAAATAGGCCTGCTTACTTTATATTTCTCTGATGTTCTTTTATTAAATCTACCGGCTCAGGGCAATACGGTGTCTGTAAAACATATAATAACGACTCGTTCATCAGAATTTACATGTTTTAACGATAGTTTCATATTTTCTGAATAATGGTTTATATTTCCTACACAATAATACTTAGAAATTGTATTATATTTCGCTTGAAAATAAAAGCTACATAATGGAAGTGGGGAGGTCTACTTGGTCGAGGCATATTACTTTCCTTGTTTTGAGGTGCCTCTACCTTTCCCAGCAAACATTCAAAATTTAAACATTTTAGTTTTGAAAACTGACTTAGAGGATTATAGGATTGTAAGGACTGTCTCCAAATGAAACGTTGTTTAACGTCCTACTGTTCTGCTACGATTGGTCTTATGAAGACGGGCATACGCCATACAGTGTAGTATGAGGGGATTTTTGCCTGACAGTCGCTCTACAGCCTACTCTTGTATCGAATTCCACATGTCAAGGGATCTTTTATGTACACACCAATGTGTACACGGGACCGCGGCGTTTCGTCAAAATCCGACCGGCCATACGTTGTTCTGTTGTCCTGCACTACTGACAAGGAGGAACCACGCCGGAAAGACGCGATGAACTTTCTCGGCCAACACAGGGATCGAACATGGGACCCCAGATTAGCGAGCCAACGTCTTACTAAGGCACCATTGCTCCCTAAATGGTCAACAAGATTTACATCAGTGGAGCAAACCATCAGTATTGCTTTCATTCGAGACAAATCTAGCTTTAGCCAGACCATGGCTTAACAAGCTATCGGACTTGTTTCTTCATGATCGTAATAACACTACAGAATCAATGATTTTACAACTTTATTGCTAAGCTGTAATGGCTTGAAATGTTCCTCGTCCTCAATAATAATAGCTGCTAGGAATATCTGAATGAGCTTTGATCCATTTCGCTCTACACCCTAATTTATACCCCCTAATTTCTGTACGTCTTAGATAGCCTTGACGTTAATTTCCATCCCAAATATGGAATAAATCTCTTTATTTCACAGGACTAAAGGAGGAGACATTATATTATTTAGCCTACCAACCATAGGTCAATTAACAGACAGAACTTGATGGATATCTTGACAATGGTTATGATTTTACCAAAATATCACTGTTTTTTTTTTATGTATAACTATCTATTCACGTTCATTAAGTACGTGTGATTTGACTCTATAGACAGAGTAAAGTAACAATTTTTCATAGAACCAAAATTGTCTTAAGGACCAAAGTGTTACACATGTTCAAGGGCGTTTTTTTAAAATTTGAGTGAAAAATCTGAATTTTGATAAAACACTGTAGGTATATATAAATGTACATACCTGTGTAGGTATTGACAGGTATATCAACATATCGACTATCTTCCAATTTATTGTTGGCTTTATCCAGCTTCGCTTCTAATTCTCTTATCTGCTTCTGAAGAATCCCACAGTGTTCACAGAAAACTGTTTTGGATGTATTTTCTTTTGAATCTGGGGAATAGTTAAAGATACATTAGTTAAGAGTTTAATAAAGAGTTGGCCATTCTTGCTATAATAATTCAAAATTAGATGATGAAAAAAGAAATATTGAAATCGGGACTTAGCCTCGCTTTCCCAATTTTACATTAAATTTTTAAATGGCGAACCGTTCTAATCTAGTTAAAATCTCGAGTATCCGATGCCATCGAGAGTCGATTATGGTCTTGTTTTGTTAATAAATGTGTAATTAATAATTTAGATAACATTTTAGACCTAAAGAAAAACCTGCAATAGACAGATTTAGCTCTTGCATTATCTATGTTTAATATGATTATTACAATGACATCATTATTAATGTGACGTCATAATGTATGTTTAGTTTAACAAATGTAGTTTAAACAATGCAAGCATTTATTCTACATTATTGCTATCTCAAAGCTGTCCAATATTTAATCAAAAAACATACATGGTTCAAATAATGTGTTAGACATTACGTTTATAGAATACAAACATTTCACTCCAATCCGATTAAAATACAGATCTATATTTCGTTTCGTTTTTGATACTTTCGACGGCCTCTACTATTCGAAGATCTGACGGTAGTGGGAGGTCGCTTTAGGGGTTATATGAGTGTCTTTTCACCCTTTACGTCAGACATTGATTAATCAATCAGCGTTGACGTTTCTATAGTGTTCCATTCACAACACGCCAAGAAGTCGCTGTAACAGGCCGGTTCATTGGCTAATTCCTCACATCAAGCAGACCACCTGTTATATAACAACTCTTCCAGATCGTAGTGTTGTGAAGACAAGTAGAACGAAATTTTGAACTATAAAAAACGAAACGAATAGGACCGTGTTTTAATCAGATTTAAAAGTATGTGTCTGGGTCCTTTTACATCAAAGTCGTACAAGGAAGCAATCCCATCTTAATTTTTATAACCCCTGCCCTTAATGTGTCATATTATTTGGGTTTAGACTTGTATTTTTGCGACGACCCATCAAGCAAATACATTTATTTGTGACTTTTCAATACTAAGAACCATTTTCTAAACTTGTCAAGGAAATGAAATGAGTTAGTTCGCCACCGTGGTTAACCAAATAAAATGTTCTGCTCTGACAGGGCTAATGAAAACGGGTTTACGTCATGCAATGTGCTATGAAGGCAATTTTACCCAAACAGCGGCGCTACGGTCTACTCTTATATCGAATTCCAACTGCCATGGAATCTATTACATCCTCCAATGACAAGAGAACATTTCTCGGCCAACGCCTGGATCGAACCCGGACCTGCTTGTTAATGCTTCAGCGACTTAAATCACCGAGCCCCCGTGGCCCCGATTTATAAATGACCTGTACAAAATACAAATGAAATGAAATGGGGTTTAACGTCCTACTGTCCCGCTCCGAACTGGGCTAATGAAGACGGGCATTCGCCATACAGTGTGCTATGAGGGAAATATTGCCCGGACAGCGGGGTTACGGCCTACTCTTATATCGAATACCAATTGTCATGGGATCTTGTACGTGCACGCCAATGTGTACACGGGACCTCAGTTTTCCGTACCATCCGAACGACTAGACGGCTGTCCTTGTCAGACCCTCATTCCTGCACCACTGACAACGGGAAACCACATCAGAACATCCTGATGAACTTTCTCGGCCACTGCAGGGATCGAACTCGCGACCTCCAGCGGCTTACCCACTCAGCCACCGCAGCTCCTAAAATGTTTGTCTAAAGGTAGAAACAATACACTGATGGAAAGGTTTAACATCGTTAGTTTCCTATAACATAGAATATACATTAAATATACATGTACCTAATGGAAGACCTAACTCTGCCTGTACATTGATATCCATGAAGTTTACAATGTTCTTCCAGGTCAAAATATTGCTCAAAGCAAATTTGACATAATGTACATTGATATAAAGTAATTGCAATAGATTCGCTTTCTTTAACATTTTGTCCTATGATAGGAGATTCTTCATATTCCATATGTATTTTACAATGTTCTTCTAAATCAGGGTATAAATCAAATTTTCTTTCACACAAGTTACACTGAAAATAATTCAAGTTATCAATTTCCTCTTCTTTAACATGTTTCTTGTGAAGTTTTACAACATCAATTTTTTCTTCTTGAACATGTCTTTTGCGGAGTTTTACCGCATTATCAATATCGTCTTTTTTAACATGTCTTTTGCGGAGTTTTACAGCATTATCAATATCGTCTTTTTTAACATGTCTTTTGCGGAGTTTTACAGCATTATCAATATCGTCTTTTTTAACATGTCTTTTGCGGAGTTTTACAGCATTATCAATATCTTTTGCGGTGTTTTACAACATTAGCAATTTGCCCCGTTTTAACATGTCTTTTGCGGAGTTTTACAACATTAGCAATTTGCCCCGTTTTAACATGTCTTTTGCGGTGTTTTACGATACTGTCAATTTTTTCTCCTTCAACATGGATCTTCTTGTTCACGTGTAGTTCATAGTGAAGATCTAGATCACTGTACTCTTTAAAAATCTCATCACAAAAAACACAATGATGGAATGTTTTAACATTATTAGTTTCCTGAAATATACGAAGGTTATAATATCATTAGTTTCCTGAAATATGTAAGTTATAACATCATTAGTTTCCTGTAATATATAAAAGCTATAACATCATTAGTTTCCTGTAATATATAAAAGTTATAACATCATTAGTTTCCTGTGATAAGTTATATTATTAGTTTCCTGTAATATATAAAAGTTATAACATCATTAGTTTCCTGTGATAAGTTATATTATTAGTTTCCTGTAATATATAAAAGTTATAACATCATTAGTTTCCTGTGATAAGTTATATTATTAGTTTCCTGTAATATATAAAAGTTATAACATCATTAGTTTCCTGTGATAAGTTATATTATTAGTTTCCTGTAATATATAAAAGTTATAACAATGTTATGTATTGAGAGAAAGTGGTTTTAACATCCACTCAAAACAAACTAGGTCATTTCTTGAGCAGTAGGAGCGAACTGGCTGAATGGTTCATTGAGTCATGATGTGGTTTTGAATCCCTGCTTGTACGTGAAAAGGAGTAAAGTCCCCTGTGGGTCATTCCATGTCAAGTGCTAAACCCTATTTCTCTCTCTTCAGGGATCACGTGGCTAAGTGGGTAAGACACTGGCTCGCTAGCCTGGAGGTCGGGTGTTCGATCCCTGCATTGGCCGAGAAAGTTCATCCATATTTTCCAGCGTGGTTTCCCCTTGTCAGTGATGCAGGACGGAGGGCCTGACAAGGACAGCTGTATATTCATTCGGATGGGACTAAAAACCGAGGTCCCGTGTACACATTGGCATGCACATAAAAGATCCCTTGGCAGTTGGAATTCGATATAAGAGTAGGCTGTAGTGCAAAATTTCCCCTCATAGTACACTGTAGGGCGTATGCCCGTCTTCATTAGCCCAGTTTAGGAGCAGAACAGTAGGACGTTAAACCCCATTTCATTTCATTTCTCTCTCTTCGATTCTTCTACAACCTTTGTCAGTAGGATGCACTATTCCTGTACAATAATGGAAACAAGACTTTAGAGAGAGAGGGAAACTGGGTTTAATGCCCACTCGACAAAAACATATGGTTTAATTTTATTTCAATAATTCGATTCCCTGTAGGGGTCTTTAGCAGTGGGAGGAAACTTGAGGACCCGTAGAAAACCCACGAGGTTGGACAGGCGACCCTACTCCTTGTCACGTACAACTTGCCTTTCGAAACCACGCCAGTTGACTCAATGACAGGCATTATGATACAGCGCCCACGTGCTTACCAGGGGCGTAAAAAAAATTTTGAATCCACTAGATGGGCTAGTAGTCTACTGTCAGACACTAGCCCGGCATTAATTTCCACTGGTCCGTAGTTCGACAAGGTACAAGCTTTGATCTTCAATATTTGGGCGCCTGTTTTGTTTTGTTACCTGCCAACCTATGGTTTTGAATAAAGATCGTAGACTTCATTGCCTAACAATTAAGGATGTAAACGGCTACTCAGTTTTTTGTAATATATCACGGGAAATTGACGTCTATAAATTCCCACTTGAAGTTTTGTTGTATACGGAATACGGTGCGTTATGTTATTGTAAGTACTCACTGCAAAGCATGAGACAGTCTCGACTGATTGACAAGTTAATTGTTTTACAGTATTTACTGGTACCATTGAGCATGCCATGTGCAACGAACACGTGTAGTAAATTCTTTGGAAATACCGGACATGTTAAATAATCAAAATTATTTTGTATTTGAAAATCCAATGGCATGCTTTCAAATATTTATGTCAAAACCAATCTTATAAAATATTATGTAGGCTTTTTTTTAAAAAAAATCAACCTGATTTCAACTGGTGAATACGTGACTTGTCAAAGAGTGCAAGGTGGAGAAAAATGTCAAGAATGAATGAATCGACGAGGTACTAAAAATGTCCATACTGCCCTAAGTTTTATACAGAAAATCTATTGTTATAATAGAGTTTTGTGTGGAATTGGAGAAATAAATGTAGGATGTTTTTACAGTTTATTTATCTATATCTCTAGATTAATTTACAAACCAGTAAAAGGGCACTAGCCCAGGACTAGTACGGTTAAATAGATCACTAGCCTGTAAGTTAATTTTGGTAGGCCCGGGCGTCGGGGTATAGATTGTTACAAGCCTGCTTCAACTGGGCTTATGAAGACGGGCATAAGCCATACAATCTTCTATAAGGGAAGGATTGTCTGAAAAAATACTGATGAAATAAAATGGGGTTTAACGTCCTACTTTTCTGCTTCGACTGGGCTAACGATGATGGGCATATGTCATACAGTGTGCCATGAGGGCAATTTTGCCCGGACAGCAGCGCAAAAGCCTACTCTTATATCAAATTCCAACTGCCAAGGGATCTTTTATGTGTGCACCAATGTGTACACAGGACCTCAGTCTTTTGTCCCCATCCTGCACCACTCACAAGGCGAAACCACGTCGGAAACAGCTGATGAAATTTCTCAGCCAAAAAAAAAAATATACAACAAAAAAAAAACATGAACTGCTTTTCTTTTTTTGTAGATAAGCTTACATGTAGATATCAAACATACCAGTTGATCTCATGAAGCAGGACTGGGTTGATCCGGTGATCCCGGAAGGGGTTCATCTCGTGATCCAGGAAAGGGTTCATCTATTGATCCCGGAAGGGGTTCATCTCGTGATCCAGGAAAGCGTTCATCTCGTGATCCAGGAAGAGGTTGATCTTGTGATCCAGGAAGGGGTTCATTTGTTGAATCAGGAAGGGGTTCATTTGGTGAATCAAGTAGGGACTTATCTGCAATGCTATCACGCCATTTACGCCAATGTTGTTGTAAATTTTTAATCCATTTCCTCCTTTTTCTTCTAGGCATTGTGATAGTCTTTCCTGATCCAACTTGTTCAGTTTGTTTTATCTAAAATAGAGAAAAAAATATTTCTAAATGTTTGAAATGAAATCAAGATTAATGTCCTACTGGAATCAAACTGACAAGTGTCCCATTCTGCACCAGTGACTAGGGGGAACCCTGTGGAAAATCCATGTTAACTGTCTTGGCCAGTGCAAATCGACTGACCTGTCCAATATCTGCTACTGCACCACACAACAACTGTACATATCAGATCAAGTGAATGGATCCAGGAGGTCGGCCGTAAAAGTCCAGAGAAATGAAAGTAAATGGAGTTTTTACGTCCTACTGTTCTGCTGGGTTAATGAAGACGGGCATACGCCATACAGTGTGCTATGAGGGAAATTTTGCCCGGGCAGCAGCACTATCGCCTACTTCCAACTGCCAAGGGATCTTTTACGTGCATTCCAATGTATACACAAGACCTCAGTTTTTCGTCCCATCCACATGACTAGACAGCTGTCCTTGTCAGGCCCTCCATCCTGCATCACTGACAAGGGGGAACCACGCTGGAAAATCTGGATGAACTTTCTCGGCCAATGCAGGGATCGAACACCCGACCTCCAGGCCAATGAGCCAGAGTCTTACCCACTTAGCCACGTGATCCCTGAAAGTCCAGAGAGAGAGAGGAGAGAGAGAGACACAGAGAGAAATGGGGTTTAACATCCACTCGACACAAACTAGGTCATTTCGGGACTAACATATGGTTTAATTTTATTTCATTAATTCGCTTGCGGTCTTTAGCAGTGGGAGAAAACCAGAGGACCCGGAGAAAACCCACGAGGTTGGACAGGCGACCCTACTCCTTGTCACGTACAACCAGGGATTCGAAACCACGCCAGTTGACTCAATGACAGACTTAATGATACAGCGCGCACGTGCTAACCACTAAGCCATCCAACCCCCCTGAAAGTGAGAGAGAGAGAGAGAGAGAAATGGGGTTTAACCTCAACTCGACTCAAACTAGGTCATTTCGGGACTAACACATGGTTCAATTTTATTTCAATAATTCACTTGCGCGTAGGGGTCTTTAGCAGTGGGAGGAAACCGGAGGACCCGGAGAAACCCCACAAGGTAGGCCAGGCGACCCTACCCCTTGTCATGTACAACCGGGGAATCGAAATCCCACCAGTTGACTCAATGACAGACTGTATGATACAGCGCAGCGCGCACGTGCTAACCATTCGGCCATCCAACCCCCCATTTTTTGAAAGTGAATTCCGGTGTTTATATGTTTTTAAAAGTGAATTCCGGTGATCATCGGTGTTTTTTAATTATTTATTATTAATATTAATGCAAAATATATGTAAAGAGGTAGGCCTTGGGGTCAAATTTTGATATTTGCAAAGTGAATTCCGGTGATTTAGTATCCGCTCAAAATCTAAACAAAACAAATCGACGCAGCCAAATGTTGACAACTTGTTTGCTTCTTTCAGCTGACAGCAAAATTCACAATTTTCAGTTACCTGCACTGCTAACACGTTAAACTTACATATCATATCCATTTTTTTTTTCTCAAAATATTTTTTTACTGTTGATTTTTTAACGAGATTTCCAAAAACTCTACTGCAAACCGATAACTGGATCTTGACCGATCTGTAGAATATCTGTCAGTGTTTATACCCACAAATCTAACCCTAACCCTTCAGAATAGTTTTAGCCACAATCCACCGTTGTTACAGCTTCAATTTGTATGTTTGACATGTAATTTATAAACCTAACCCTAACCCTCGAGAAGATGTTCTCCAGATGACACAATGATCTAGTATTATTCCCTTGGCGAACTCTAGCAAATTCAAATTTGAAACACAGAATTTCACACGAAACGAAATTTATCTATTTTTCAGTTATTTTCAATATTAAGTCATTGTAGTTATCTAATGTTGGCCTACCATGCCCAAAAATATTCACATTTGGTTAAATGTGCCGGAAGGACATAGTGCTGAAAACACTGCAACATTAATTATATAAAATTATATTTCGTTTCGAGTAAAATTTATAGGAAGATAGGCACAAAGGGTTAAATCTAATTGATAAGGCCAACTTCAAGTTTTGCCACAGGTCACGAGATATAAACAGGGTTAACGCTATAATCTCAACCTTAACCCGAACCCTGGACATAGCCCTAATACTTAGTCTAACCCTAACCTACAATCTCGTCAACAATCACGCGCTCTACTTATTACATCCCAGCGACATCGACGAGAATTGAGTTGACCTTAAGAATAAGATCTAGCCGTGGCAAATCTAGTTTCATTTTGTTAGCACAGTTTTATTTATTTGGTCACAGACCACTAAAGATTTCCCCATTCACAATGTTAATTCTCGTATCTTAGAGAGATGGAGCAACATGTGGAAACCCCTTGATTTACTTCATTCTCAGCCAAGTTATCATTGTTTGTAGTTTTGACAAGATGTATGCACAGTGTTAACCAGGGCACTGATAGTGATATAGCCTAATCAGGATTTTTAAATTAAATTTTTAAATGGGGAACCGTTTTAATCTAGTTAAAATCTCGAGTATCCAATGCCATCGAGAGTCGATTAATGGTCTTGTTTTGTTAATAAATGTCTATTCAATAGTTTATATAATATATAACATTTCACTCCTATGACATCATTATTAATGTGACGTAATAATGTATGTTTAGTTTAACAAAATGTTCTGTTTAAACAATGCGAACATTTATTCTACATTATTGCTATCTCAAAGCTGTCGAAAATTTAATCAAAAAACATACATGGTTCGAATGTGTTAGACATTACGTTTATAGAATACAAACATCTCACTCCAATCCGATTAAAATACAGATCTATATTTCGTTTCGTTTTTGATACTTTCGACGGCCTCTACTATTCGAAGATCTGACTGTAGTGCGAGGTCGTTTCAAGGGTCATACGAGCGTCTTTTCACCCTATGACGTCAGACATTGATTAATCAAGCAGCGTTGCGGTTTCTAGTGGTTTACCACAGTTCCATGCACGGAACGCTGTAACAGGCCGGTTCATTGGCTAATTCCACAAATGAAGCAGAGCGCCTGTTATATAACAACTCTTCCAGATCATAGTGTTATGAAGACAAGTAAAACGAAATTTTGAACTATAAAAAACGAAACGAATAGGACCGTGTTATAATCAGATTTAAAAGTACGTGTCTGGGTCGTTTTACAAGAAAGTCATCCATGGAAGCAATCCCATCTTAATGTTTATAAGCCATGCCCTTAATGTATCATATTATTTGGGTTTGGACTTGTGTTTTTGCGACGACCCATCAAATATTGACGTATACATTTATTCATGAACTTTTCAATTCTAAGAATCAAGGAAATGAAATGAGTTTGTTCGCCACCGCGGTTAACCAAATAAAAATGTTCTGCTCTGACAGAGCTAATGAAAACGGGCATACGTCATGCAATGTGGTATGAAGCAATTTTGCCCGGACAGCGGCGCTACGGTCTACTTTAATATCTAATTACAACTGCCATGGGATCTTTTACGTCCTGCAATGACAAGGGAAAACCACACCGGAAAATCTCGACGAACGTTCTCGTCCAACACCGGGAGCGAGTCTTCTTTGTCACACTATCCGTGCTACACCACTTATAAATCCTATATGGACATTTCTCACCCAACACCGGGAGCGAGTCTTCTTTGTCACACTATCCATGCTACACCACTTATAAATCCTATATGGACATTTCTCGGTCAACACCGGGATCGAACCCGGACCTGCTGGTTAATGAGTCAGCGACTTAATCACCGAGCCCCCGGTTTATAAATGACCTGTACAAAATATAAATGAAATGAAATGAAATGGGGTTTAACGTCCTACTGTTCTGCTCTGAACTGGGCTAATGAAGACTGGCATGCGCCATACAGTGTGTTATGAGGGAAATTTTGCCCGGACAGCGGCAATACGGTCTACTCTTATATCGAATTCCAACTGTCAAGGGATCTTTTACGTGAACGCCAATGTGTACACGGGACCTCGGTTTTTCGTCCAATCCGAACGACTAGACTGCTGTCCTGCATCACTGACAAGGGGAAACCACGCCGGAAAATCTGGATGAACTTTCTCGGCCAATGCAGGGATCGAACACCCGACCTCCAGGCTAGCGAGCCAGCGTTTTTTTTTTGTAAATATGTTTATTCAATAAATATATAATCATACATTTTAATCATGGAACAGCACAAAATATTCTTAATCAATTAAAAGCATTATTTTTTTTTTTTATTTTTTATTTTTATTTTTTTAAAAAAACAAGAAAAATGAAAAGAAAAGAAATACATTCCTGAATCAAAATACAAAACCATTGACACATTAACACATTGATGAAATAATACATCAATAAATCAATGGATCCATACATTAATTCATAAATATATTTAAAGATGTTTTGGCTATTTTGATATTCAGTAATGGTAATCTAAGTCAATACGAATAGTATAATTTATAGTTTAAAATTAAATATTAATTACTTCATCGTTTTCTAATCATTTATATTAATTGGATTCAGTCGGATTTAAAACGGGTTTGTCATTAAATTGTCGCGACAACAAAATGGCTGCAGGCGTACTTCATAGCGAGTAACATAGATCGATGGAATTTCTATATTGTATATATCTTTGTAAATACTGAGCAAAATTGAACCAACTTATAAATGATATTACAATTAGATATTTGTCTTCCACCAGCGAGCCACGGTGGCTGAGTGGGTAAGACGTTGGCTCACTGACCTGGTGGTCCCGTGTTCTATCTCTGCGTTGACAGAGAAAGTACCCCAATGTAGTTCCTCCTTGTCAGTGGTGCAGGACTGCAGACCTGACAAGGGACAACGTATACTGGCTCGGGTGGGACGAAAAACCGAGGTCCCATGTATGTGGCGTGTACGTTAACGATCCCATAAGAATAGGCCGTGGCGCCAATGTCCGGTCTCAATATCCCTCATGAATCTGGATTATCTAGTTTAGGTAGCGTAAACAGAATTAAACCGGTAGCTGAAAGAAACGGCAGTGGCACCTGAATTAAATGGAGGTATGGTCTTAATCATCTAAATTTCACATATAAAAAATAATATAAAGTAGTTTTTAATTTTAAATCATTGAAGTCACTTTATATAGAAAATACAATTTATGATCCAATGTTCCTCTGATTTTTAAGCATTCCTGGCTGATAATGAAGTGTGCACCTTTCCGGAATTTGAACATGGCTCTACACGTGATGAGATTCCACTTGAATCGGAAGAGGAATCTAAACGAGAGGAGCCTGCCTGTAGTTAGTATTTAAAAATGGAAATCATCGAAATTATATTTTCTACAGGGGCTCGCTGTGGCTAAGTGGATAAGACGCTGCCTTAACAGGTTTACAATAGCCCTTTTCAATGTTAAATTTTAAGAGCACTGGAAGAACTGGACTTATATGATGTCTTGTGATAAAAAAAACTGGAAAGTAGAGTCTTGTATAGAGAGAGAGAGAGATAGGGAGAGAGAGATGGGAGATAGATAGAGAGAGAGGGAGAGAGAGAGAGGGAGAGAGATAGAGAGAGAGAGATGGAGAGAGATAGAGAGGGAGATATGGAGGGAGAGGAGATAGAGAGAGGTGGGAGATAGAAAGTGTGTTTAACGACCACTCGACACAAACCAAGTTATTCGGGACTAACATGGTTCAATCTTATTTCAATAATTCGCTTGCGCGTAGGGCTCTTTAGCAGTGGGAGGAAACCGGAGGACCCGTAGAAAATCAACGAGGTTGGACAGGCGATCCTATTCCTTGTCACGAACAGCCGGGGAATCGAAACTACACTAGTTGACCTTATGATACAACGCACACACGCTAACAATTCGGCCACCCAAGACCATCGATGTGTGCTATGGGGGGGCAGCTTTGTCAGACAGGCGGCGATACCATCTGCTCTTAACCAATTCCAATAGTGGTGGATTCTTTTACATGCACAATGTCCTCGTTTTTTAGACCTATCCGATCGACTATACACTGTTCTGGAGCCACGTTGGCTCATTGAGTAGGACTTTGGAAGACGTTGGAAACGTACATTCTTATTTGCCAGTGGTGTATCCGACGGACCCTATTCATTGTCACGTCCGTTGTTAAAAGATACAGATTAGATTTTTTTTTATCTTTTTTTCAAAGTAAGGAGCCAGGGTAGCTAAGTGGGCGAGACGCTGGCTCGCTATCCTGTATGTCGCGTGTTCGATCCCTGCACTGGCCGAGAAAGTATGTCGGGATTTTCCTTCGTGCTTTCGCCTTGTCAGTGGTTGCAGGACCATGGCTTGACAAGGAAAACTGTCTAATCATTCGGGTGTACACATTGTCGTGTACGTAAAAGATCCTTTTGCAGTTGGAATTCGATATAAGAGTAGGCCATAGTGCCGCAGCCCGGGCAAACATTCACTTTTAGCACACTGTATGCCCGTCTTCATTATCCCGGTCGGACTGGAACAGTAGGACCTTAAACACCATTTCATTTCATTTTTTCAAAGTATGTAAATATAAATGTGCCAGAAAATTATTTAAATATTTGAAAATAGAAATGAACGTGCGTTTCAGTGATACCTAACATGATATCTAGAATTCGTATTAAGATCATACGAGACGAAGGATCGAGACTTATCGAGTAGAGCCTAGCATTACGACGGCTGTATTAACATATTCTATATCTATCTTAACACATCACTGGTTTGAACGAATCAAATAAATAGTCAGACCTTTAATTTAAAGCTATATGTAAATTTCGAAATCCAAAATGGCAGCATTATAAAACG